GACAAATTAAAAAAAAATTTTTATTAAACAAAACCATTAAAAATTTCAAAGCATATAATAGAGCCATGACTATAATGTAAATCCAGAGCTCAAACACTGGGTAATCGCTATTCATAAAAATATGTAACATCCCATTCATAGTTCATACCATTAGGTATAAGTGTCTTCAATTTAAAAATCCAAACCACTTCACGTTTAGACAATAGGGAAAACCGATCTCCCCCTCTGGAACGTGTATGTACTGTTTCAATAATCTGAATCCTCATAGAATCAATGTTACTATTATGTGTCTCACAAAAGTGTTTGGCAACATTAGTATTTTCTTATTCCTAATGTTGAACAAATGATCCCTAGTGCGGTCACATAATCTTGTAGTTTTGCCTATATACTGTTTGCGGCAAACTAGACAGGAAATCACATAAATAACAAACCTTTTTTTGACAATTGACCAGCTGTTTAATATGCTATGATGTACCAGTGACATAGGATGTTATTGTATTAGATTCACCTAGCAGATCAGCGCTCGAACAGCGGGAATCATTACATTTGTGCATACCCGTGCATAGCCAATTGCATCCATCCTTATTGTGAGGTTTTAATAGGCAAGGTGACAATGTTACCCAGGGTCCGTGCTCGTCTAGCAACAAATTGAATTCCTCCCTGTAGTATACTCATATCATCATCTTCATACAAAATGGTTAAGTATCTTTTAATAATTTTTTTAATGTCCTCATACTGGCAACTTAATTTTGAGTAGAGAAAATAAGTGTTCTCTCTTTATTCAATCTAACTTGTTTTTTCATGTTGTTGGAATGTTTTAAACATTCTAATCTGTCAATTCTTTTCACCTCGTCATATGTCCGTCTAAAGTGCTTACAAGGGGGGAGTGGTGGTGGTTTTAAATCAGAAAGATTATGACACAGAGGCTATGATACAGAGGATACGGATAAGTATATACCTATTTTTCATCATCTCCCTAAGGTGCACCAACAGGACGCACCGTTGAGGGGCAGACCTATAGTGGCCAGTATAGGCTTCCTTAATGAAGCCCTAAGTGAACCTATGGCAGATGCTCTCATTCAGCCCCTCGTGAAAAAATCTATCTGGTTACTTGCATTACACTAAGCATGCCATTGTAAGAAAAATGAGGCTGATTTAAGAAATATGAATATTATCTGTATTTATCAACACCCACTTACTCTAAGAGCGGGGTAGGTCAGCTAAGAAATACACACCATAAACTGTAGGATTAAAAGAATATATTGTACCAGAAATTTAAACATACACGGCTTGGTTATTGATAAAGAAAAGATTACAGTAATAACAAAAACAACAAACCATGTGTCAAAGATTACTATCACAGGAACACTAGCAATGGCTCTGGCCTCTGCCGCTTTATCCAAGCTACACTCATTCACCATCATTAGGAACCAGGGGCGGACTGGGCAGGGTGGCAATTGCCCCCCGGGCCTCACTGCTGCCTTTAAAAATGGCCGCTGTCAGAGGCCCGTCACTGGCCCCGCTAAAAGAATCCTCTGGCCGCCGGTGCAGTGGCTCCCTCCGCCTCCACTTACAGAGTACAGAGCCGCTACAGATGCGGCTCTCTACTCGGCGGCCGCTCGCTCCTCAAGGCTGACCTTTGGAGGCCCCCGCAGGCGGCCCTCATTGTGTAACAATATTTTTATTGAAATTTTCCAAATACTGTAATATTGGTTCACAGTGCATCGATACATTGGTTCTTCTGTATAATCAAAGATTTACAGGTGCTAAATGAACATATGACAAATATGCACACTCAAGGAACAGGGTGACCGAGTGGTCTTAAGCGCTCATCACACACAATCAACATTGTAGCCAATTCTTAAAGATTGATTCCATGAAAAATGTTTTTTATTTTATGTTCCCGGGGACATAATTTGTATGGGGATGCTCTCCTCAATCTGGGGACTATCCCCAGAAATCGGGGATGAATGTAGAACTGCCACAACTAATCGACCAAGTCGATTTATAGTGGATGATTGAGAAAGTTCTCCAAGTTTTCAATCGTCGATTATCGGCTTTCGATTAGTTGGCCCTGTTCACGGCTCCACACACGCTGCATGCCGCACCTCCTCCCCGCCTCACGCTTGCCGCTGCAAGACCCACCCGCTTGCATCCACGCTCTACACGCCGCACCTCCG